GTAAAACTTTAATTTAAATTTAAGTTTTAGAGATTTATTTTTAAATAATGTTACATTTAATTTAAAAATTTTTCCCGATTAAGATATATATGCTACTAGTGTGGCTGGTGAAGGCAGTGGGCCGGGCCACTAACTCCTCTCATGCATCTTGGATCCCTAACACACAAGACACTATATAAAATAAAAAAGTTAGCTTATACCGTTACCTAAAATTTTGTTTTCCATGGCCGCCCTCACGAGATCGAATCCATATTTGCCACGTTGTGGTAGGAAGACTTCGGGTGGGGTGACAGAATAAAGGTAGCGTGTCATATCCTTGTGGCCCATAGCACATGCAGCAGTTACTGGGATAAAGCCTCCATCATTTTCAATTGTAAGTAATTTGCTCTTGCTGTTCTCTTTGACTATGCATTTTGCCATGTCTGTTCTTCCCGTCGTTGCAACTAAGGTAAGAGCCGTGTGACCACCACTGTTCCTCGCAGTCTTTTTTTCCAGATCTGTTTCCGACATCATCTTTATCAATTCCTTAACAATCTCATATTTCCCTGCCAGTATTGCAACATGAAGAGCAGTGTAGCCTTCGTTGGATAATATTATTGTATCTAGTGGATACTCGTCAGAAACAAAAAACTGCTCAACAGCATTCCAATCTCCTTTGCGAATGCTCTTTCTCAATTTCACAAGGCAAGGATCTTCAGTCATCTCATCTTCTTCCCCTGTGAATAATCAAGAATTCAAGATACTAATTAAAATTATAAGTATTTCACAATAAATTAATTTAATTGAGACTTTATTCAAATCAATAAAAATTACATCTGCCCGACTCTTCACATTGAGTCATTTCAATTATCTCATCTTCTTTTCCTGTCAATAATTAAGAAATTATAATCAAATTATATTTCAATCAAAATATAATTCATTTAGTTGGAAATCTCTTTAAATCAATCTTACCATCCGATCCCCCCACGCCAGTTTCTGGTTTCGATTTAGATTGCCACTCTTGATGCATTTTGGCTAACTTATTCCAAACAACTTTTTCCAAACTGATTTCTTTATTTGGGCAAAAATTTCTACCGACGATGTAGTATGAATTACATGTAGAGCTGCACCATTCTCTTTCCTCCAATTTCCTACATCGTCCAAAGAAGAAACCAAATCAAATATTATTCCCAGATTCAAGGATACCTCAAAGATCTTGAGCTAATAGATAGTGTTGAATGTAAATTCTCCAATCTTCATAATTATCGTGTTTAAGAAGAAAAGGAACAATTGCAGTAGTACTTGAATCACTACGTATTGCCATTATAACATTGTCAAAGCATAAAAAGTATATATAATGCTAATTATAACAGAAAAGCATATATAAATATAATTTCATATTCTACACCTTGCAGTAGCTATATATAAACAGAGACTTGATCAGGCAAGCAATCTTCTCTAGAATGGTACACACTACAGTAAGGTAGAGAGCATGAACACCAAATGTAAATTATCGGGCTGGCACAAAGCCATAGCAAATAATCAAAGAATTAACTTTCTTATAATATGCTTACCATATGGAAGAGATAACTAGACTTGGATTCTTGCTGTATAGATAGAGATTACAGGTGCTCCTTAGTTCTAAATATGAAATGAAAAAGAGAAACATGTGATATAATTATAAATGGAGAAGTAAAAAAGAAAAAATTAACAAAAGAAACCAAACCAAGGGAATACAAATTTGGGACACAGGATGACAACCAAATTCAATGATGAAGCCCTTGAGAGCGAGAGAAAGTATAGGGCAAAGGTTTAGGTTGTGCTTGCTATGTATGGTGTGGTCGGATCTTGATGAAATATTTAAACCACAAAAAAGTAAAGAAAGAATAGAATAAAACCACAGAATATATTTCTTTCTTTTGATTGTAAACACTCGAAGAATTAATCCATCACAAAGTAATTAAGAGAGAATAGATTTAGTAAAACGTAAAGAGTTTCTTAGAATAAGTTAAGCAATTCGACAATATTATAATTAAAAGCTAATTGCATTACATTGATTCATAGACGAGCATGCATGATCAATAATTCACTACTGAGGAGACTGACTTTTGCAGAGCTTAAAATTACAATGAAATATAAGGCACAATGCACCTAAAATAATAAAATGTTAACGAATACACAGCATTAATTTAATGGATTGATAAAATAATATCAAAGAGAAAAGTTAAAATCAATAAGCCAATTATGATCTATCATTCCATCAACCTATTTTTATGCTTACTATACTAACTATACCTCAACCCGCACCTTGTGCAGTTTGTTTTTATATATATTTTTTTAAGTATAAATTTTTATAATAATAAGTAACTATAACTATAAATATATTTTTTTTCCTTTTTGATAATTAGTCGTTTTAAATGTATTTATTCATAAAAAAATTATTTAAACAGTAGATGTGGAAAAAAATTTAAACATACAAATTTAATCAATTTAATTTTAAAAAATAAAGATAAATTTTCATAATTTGTTACCATGTTAATAGATTATGAAAAATTGTCAAAGATATCCATCTATTCTTTCTTTTTATATTAGGTAAATTGTTTGATATTATTCATTCTCTCTTTTAGCATCTCCTTCTTAATTACTTCCTATCATTATTTATTCACATACTATATTCTTTTCAACTTCTTACATAAAAGATCGCATCTCTATATATCTTTCAATGAAGCTCATTTCAATTCTCTGGATTATTTTATCATCATACACTTATTTTATTATTATGTATTTTAGTTTTGGCTTAACTTAGTACATGTTGCTCTCCTCATTTCTCTTTCTTAAACTGATATTTTTTCATATTATTTTACATTTTCATTACTTTTTGCATCCATTTCACATTTACTCTCTCATATTATCTTCATGTTTGTATTTATTTGTAAATCCTTACCTATATTAGTAATTTTTTTATTATTATTCTTTATCCACTATAGCAACTTGGCCATATACCTAGACTATTTTTTACGTACATCAACAATTCTGTAGGTATAGGCATTTATACCTATAATTTACTAATTTGTATGTATGTGGTCCAAATATACCTACATATTTATATAAATTACAAGAAAAACATGTCTTTATCTAGAAAAATTGCTTAACATAGGTATAACAGAAAAACTTATACCTACAATTAAGATCAATTATAGATATAACAATAACATGTACCTATAAATTTTTGAAAACCATAGCTATGGTTCATTAAAAAAATCTCAACTTTACAAAAGTACTAAAAGCGAGAGACTCGGAGCAAAGTGCATGCAGTGTGTGAGTCTTGTGAGATTTAAAGTTAAAGAACAGAAAAGTAAAGAAGGAATGGTACTTGCAAAGTTGCAATAAAATAACACTCAAGGAATGTTCATTTTGATGGTGGAACCCTCAAAGAATCCATTTACTTGAAAAAGTGAAAATAAAACTTAGAGAATTAATTCAGAAATCCTTCTCATTCATGCCATCAGATGAACCTGGGCTTCACTCCAGAAATCCGTCTCAAACTCTTAATCCATTTCAAAGATGAGCCTGGGCCATGCTCTGGAAAATTTTCCTTTCAATCTCTTCTGACAAGCCTGGGCCGTGCTCCAGCAATCTATCTTAATCTATTCTATTTCTAAGGATGAGCCTGGGCCGTGCTTCAGAAATTATTCGTTTTTATCCTTTCGGATGTGTCTGGGCTGTGCTCCAAAAGTTCCTATTTGTATTTCAACGATGAGCCTGGACCAAATGTTCATAAGCAATTTGTTTGTTTCTAGATAGGGGCATGGGAACTTAATATGATTCCCTCTTATACTTTTAAAAAGAAATTGTGGCTATAAAACGACTTTAGGCTCAAATTTTTCGCAGGCCTTTGTCTTTTTAATGGTTATGGTTTTTATCTTTTGTTTTACGAAGGAAAATCTGATGGCATCATCAAGTTCAAATTGCAATCTTTATGGAAAGATTTTATACAACATGGAATATGAGTGCATGAGTGAGATTGATTCTCCCTTTATTTTGCAGGTGGATGACAACTCAGGCACCAACATACCCAGTATATGGGCAGTTGGTGATGTTACAGATCGATTGAATCTCACACCTGTAACATTAATGGAGGGAACTTGCTTTGCAGTTGCATTCTGTTTGGAGCTCCTATATTTCTCTGTATTAAATGTTATATGGTTATTTAATATTTGATGCATTTAGCAATCTTAAATGCGTTGCCTGTCTAAAAACTGTTTTTGGTGGACAACCCAGCAAACCAGACTACAACAATATACCCTATGTTGTGTTTAGATAATGTTTGTATGATTTGGAGCATGCCTTTGATTTTATTTGATTATTGATGATTCCCCAAAACAGGAGCAAAATATATATTGCTCAGTTCTAATGATCGCAAGAAATCCAAGTTATTCATTGTTCTTTATACTTGGTGGTGGCAATTTTTATCATAAGATTCTAAGGGCTATGATTAAACGATGCCCTCTGATTTAAAATGAAGTTCAACTGTGATGAACAGTTGCCCCACCTGATTTAGGCAACTGCTATTTGGGTTCTCTATGTTGAAATTAGATATCTAGCCTTAGGTTTTTCCCCTTTTTTTTTTTTCCTTCTTAGAATGCAATTACCTGTTTGGAAAGTTTTCTTTTCCACTTTCATAAGCATCAGATGACTGAGTTGTGCTTTTGCAGCATACCATCACTTTCTGTTGTTGATCTTAGCGAAGAACAAACAATAGAGCAGGCAAATGGTGATATCCTGGTTTTCACATCATCCTTGAATCCAATGAAGAACACAGTATCTGGGTATGTATTGGTGATTTGGGATTTTATTTTACCGACATTGTGTCTGGATCTTGAAATCTGAAGGGAAAAGAATAGAGAAATAAAATACTAGAAATGCCTAATTTTTCTCTCTTGTATCTTGTTAGAATTTTTATGCCAGTAAGATTTTGTATACATAAGAATATATTAATGAAGATAGTAAACCAATGGGTTTCGTTTTTATTTTGGACTCCAAACCGATAGCTAGCACAACATTTTAATCTAAAGAAACGTTCCATTAGTTCTTTATTTTCCTTGAGATTTCCAAAACACAAACACAGTGTAGATAATTTTATAATGTCATGAATAACTTAATTAGGAAAATCACACATCAAGTAATTGATGGGGAAACTATAGATTTATAAATAAATAAAAGGTTTATCTTAAAGTATAGGATAATAAGTAATAATTATATAATAATAATAATTTTTTATTTTACAAAATAAAATTAATTTTTATTTTTATTACTAATATCAAGTAATAGTTTAATTGTTCAAGGCATAAAAAAAATAAATACATCCTTTGTAGATAATTTTATAATGTCATGAATAACTTAATTAGGAAAATCACACATCAAGTAATTGATGGGGAAATTATAAATTTATAAATAAATAAAAG